GCAAAATCATTGACAACCTCTTCTTCAAATTAGTGCCTATAACTCCACTTTTAGGCATTCATTTTCAATCCTTATATTTTTCCTAAGATGTTAATTAGATATAGAACTTTCTGAAAACACTCCTATTTATTGACAAAAAAAGATAGTGTCGTCTACAAACTACAAAATATTGCACATGTACGTCCTCGCTACCCACTCNGCAAAAAAATAAAGTGTCGTCTACAAACTACAAAATATTGCACATGTACGTCCTCGCTACCCACTCTCANACAAAAAAAGATAGTGTCGTCTACAAACTACAAAATATTGCACATGTACGTCCTCGCTACCCACTCTCAATCCTTCTATCACTCTTACCTCCTTTGCTCTTCTAATCATCCTACTCAACAAATCAAACCACCAAAGTGAAAATAAAAAGAGAGAGATGATCCCCTTGCCTTCCACCCTCTGAAGCATTGAACCATTCCCTAGGCTCCACCATTCACCAACACTGAGAAAGTATAAGAGGAGAAACAATCCATTATCCGCCTTTTCCCAAATTCTTTCTTTTTTAACACATCATCTACAAAATTTCAATTTATCCAATCATATGCTTTCTCAAGATCAAGTTTAAACACAATTTTTTTTTCTTCTCTTAACATATCCACCTCTTCATTTACCACTAATGCTCCATGTAGAATTTGTTCCTTGAACAAAACACTCTCAGCCATGGTTAACGTGCCTCCCAAAACCTCACTAAGTCTTCTAGACAACACTTCAATAATAATTTTATACAAACTAGTCACTAAACTGATAGGCTTAAAACCCTTAACCTTAGTTGAGTAGTCTCTTTTGGGGACCAATGTAATGATGGTAGAATTGACACTTCTTGCAATCCCATTTGCCAAAAAACCCATTGAATACACACATAAGATCACCCTTAATAGTATCCTAACTATTCTAGTAGACAGACATAGTAAAATTATCAGGACCTTGAGCTTTTTCCTTATCCATATCAAAAATAACTCTTCTGACCTCCTAAAAAGGTCTCTCAATTTAGCTTGCCCAGTCAGACAATATACGACTTCAATCAAACACCTTTAATAGTTGGCCAAACAAGAGCATCCTCAACATATAAACCTTTATAAAACTAGGTAATCTCTTTAGCAATCAGCAATGGATATGTTATAAAACTTATAATATCCCCCAACTCAGTTTATAATTCTCTAATGACACTTTTTCTCCTCCTACAAGATGCTATTTTATGGAAGAACTTAGTATTACAATCACTTTTTTTTATCCCATTTAATTATTGTCTTTTGCCTNTTTATAAAACTAGGTAATCTCTTTAGCAATCAGCAATGGATATGTTATAAAACTTATAATATCCCCCAGCTCAGTTTATAATTCTCTAATGACACTTTTTCTCCTCCTACTAGATGCTATTTTATGGAAGAACTTAGTATTACAATCACTTTTTTTTATCCCATTTAATTATTGTCTTTTGCCTCCAACTAGTCTCCTCCCTAACTAACACTTCCTCCAACACATTTCTTAAGCTAAGTTGTTCTCCTCCTAAGTTGTTCATCTGTTAATAAATCATTTTCCTCAACATCCTTTAGAATCTTTGACTTCCAACATCTAACATCTCCAAAAACTTTTTTATTCCACACCTTCAAATTTTCTTTCACTGACCTCAACTTCTTCATAAATTTGAAATCCTCTCACCCTTATACCTCACAACTCGATCATCACTCCCTCTACCTATCTCTGAAAAAATGATGAGTTAATCACATATTCTCAAAACGTAAAAGGTGTGGCTCCCCACTTAATTGGATTGGACTCAACAACAATTGGGAAATGGTTAGACACCAATCTAGACATGACCTTCTCATTCGGAAAAAGAACATGTTAGACTTTGGAATTCTTCTACCCTTCCTCATATCAGCTTAATCCTTGTTTCTTTTTCTAGCGAATTTTCACACGTGGCTTCTTGACTTAAGAAAGATTGGGATTCTTAGACAAGCTTTCAAACTACTAAAACCGTGCACTAGTTCCAAAAGTGAAACTTTCGTTTGGGCAAGTGAGTCAGGAAGTGATATTTTGTTTCACTTTAAGCTTGGAAGTAACCTATTATCTATTGATAGGCGAGAACAGAATACTATTGGATGCTTCACCTTTCTATTCTATTATGGTCGTCTTGGTGATATCATAGGAAGACCATCATCCTTATCATGGTACAATCATTCCTTCGTTTCGCCTTGGGGACAACCGTTAGCATTGAGGACCTCTATCATACACAAGGTTGTCAAAACATGTCAAAAACAGTGTATAGTGTATTGTGTATCGTAAGTTACGTTCGATTTTATAAGAGAGTGAAAAAATACATATACCTATGAAAAAAAGTCATAATAACATTTCATTGCATCATAAATTTATAACTTTGTTGGAGTATAGATAGTCTAGGTTTATTAGGATTTCTTTTCCCTTTTTTACCCTTACTATGATTTTTATATTTTGCCTATATATACGGGGTTTTACTCTTAATTTGAGTATCTCCTTTTACTCACAATTATTTCAAGTTGGTATCAAAGCAAGGTTAGGGTTTGGGGTAGGGTTAGTGTATGGCTCTACCAGCCATACCGCCGAAACCACCCTGGCCATCA